TTCAGTTAAATACCTCCCATCGTTCCAGAGCATATTTATCTAAAAATGGAATGTCCTTGGCGTGTTTGTCTGGGGGTAGAGGTCCTCCAGAAATCTTGGAATCCAGTCCTCTGTAAGATACATAAAGTTCACTTTGTCAACAACCCATAAGAGTTTAGAGAAAATACTACCTAAGTGAATAATTAAGACAATTAAATCAATAATGAATAACTTGTGATCTGTTTAAACATTGTAAGCCTTACCCTCCAAGCAGAGCTACTTTCATATTGGAGCGAAATGTTTCATTCAGAATCCAGCCCAGCAGACCCCCTTGCATTTGTTGTTCATGCCACACTCTCAGATCAGATAAAACTTTGGAAGCATATTTGTGTTCCCTAAAAAGTAGAAATTTAGTCTCTTAATTTTATTCATTTTCATAATTAACTTGGTAGGGACTTGATGAAGTGTGCAATAAAAACAGCTTCTTTTTGGCTGGTACATTTGTTTGTATAACATTGCTGTGATTATAAACAGTACCAGGCAACATATCAAGAGAAACAAACAATATCATTTTTTTCTGTAAAAATGAAAAATTCAGAAACTAATATTAAAAAATCGGTACTGAATAAAAATATAAAAGAACGTGATAGCACAATAACACATTTCTATAGTGATAGTAGAATGATGTATTTGAAGCAGATGTTGCTTGAATTTTCAGCAATGGAGATTAAAAGAAATATATCAGTGCAACCAAACAAAATCAACAAATCAATTTAGGCTCGATTTATACCTGTTAAAGGTAAGAAATGAAAATTTTATAGTGATTAGGAATTAAAAGGATGTCCACAGTGAAAAGTTGAAGAAGACAGGAACTTCATTTCAACTTACTTTGATTGTATTAAGCTGCCAAAGTTTGGGTAAGATTTACCAAATCACTATGTGTGACACTGGTCTGATATTTGAAGAGACAATCCAAAATATTTTGTCTCGACACATCTCACTGATAATTATTCAGTCTAAATTGCTGAGATTCAGATATGGCGAAAATGTTTTCCCAAGGAACATTGTGCAGGTCCAGTACAATACCCCGATAAAGGTATATAGCTTGATAAAGCTATATAGCTTTTTCAAGGTATTTAAAATACCTTGATCAAGGTATTTTATGTAATGAAAATTCAAAAAAATTCCTTAAAAATTAATTATTGAAAGTCGAGTTCTGAGTTGTTGTCAGTAAATTCACCCATGCATGTAAAGTACTCAAACACAATGAAATCAGTAGAAAAACATGTCGTGTGAGGAGACATTATTTTATGCTTTCTTTTTGATACCAGAGTGTTTTTCACGCACGAGTAGACACACGGACAAAAGCTCAGAACTCGAATTTCAGTATTTGATTTTTAAAGAATTTTTTTTGAATTTTCATTACATAAAATACCTTGATCAAGGTATTTTAAATGCCTTGATAAAGCTACCGTAATTTACGGAATATAGGTCGATACTTTTTTCTCAGAACCGCTGGGGTCGACCAATATTCAGAATTCGACCTATTTAAGGCTCAAGTTTACGAAAATTGCTCCCAAATCAGTAAAATTTACGTCAATTTCAAAGCAAATCTGTGCCCCTTTCGCAACTTTTTTGATTATTTTTTGCAAAAAAAAATAATGCCCCGGAAAACAATAACATATTTATTTTAAAACTTTCTTACAAAATAAATTCCATTAATTATCCGTTGATGAGAAAGGAAAACAACATTGCTTCACCTATTAAATAATTCCTCAACGTATTATCCATTAACATCATGCGGTATCCATCTTGTGAAGCTAAGAAGTCGCGATCTTGTACTAAAAGTAAAACCGCAACCGTATCAAAATTTAAAATACGGAAAATTTTCACGATCACAACTATAGTGTTTTCACCATTTATTAGTAGCGATAAATTGAAATAGTATATTAAATATTTTTTATTGTCTTATGTTTATTTAAATGTAAAATCAGTGAAATAATTTGTTGCCATTATTAAAAGCTTCGTACACAAGAAGTACATTGAACTACCGGTATACAAACATTGGCTTCTAACAAAATTTTAATTGTCTGACAGATAAAGGGATTTACACTGTGTACGCAAAGGTGTTAAACAACACCTGTGTTATTTAATTAATTGTCTGCGTGCATGATTAAGAAACCCACATGCCATTATAGGGGTATTAGTGTTACACTTCATTGAACAAACAAAGCCGTGAAATTCATGTTGACAGTCAAATTGTGAATGTACTCTCAATTAAATTTATAAATTAAACTTATAGAGTGTTAATATGATTTCAATTCTTTACTGTTGCTTGATATATACATTCAATGGTCATTTGCGTCATTTAGCCAATCCGTGGAGTAGAAAAATAACAATGGCAGACATCGAAGTAATTGTCGTCCACCGGTAAATACTGTCTGAATAAAATTTATTAGAAATGTGTCCAAGTTATTCTGAAATCGGAATTGCTATTCATTGGTCTCGGGTATTTCCCGAATTATAGATGTAAAAAAATAACGTATTTACGTGTTATTTATGCCTCTGATTTAACAACAGTGTGAAACTACGGAGGCATTGATTGATTGAACACGCAAGTTGGAGAAAAATAAGTAGTAACACAATTCAACGAAGTTTTAACTACATTTTTTTAAAAACTTTATTTAAATGTTGTACTCATTAAAATATCAGTTTATTTTCTTGATACGTTACCGCTGTAATTTTAGAGGTTTACCTGTTCTGATACGTTGTATCTGCGTAAAAATCTTTAGTAAACGGGAAAGAAAGCCTCGTCCTATATAGTAAGTTCGCCCTATCTTAGGATTTTTTAAAAAATTAAGGCTGAAAATGAGCCTTTCGACCTATATACCCCATCGACCTATAATCCCAAAATTACGGCTATATAGCTTTATCAAGCTACAGTACCGACCGGACACAACCTAACAGAAAGCGAACCCGGAGCGGACCCCGGATTCGCTCTCTGGGTCCGCTCCGGGTTCGCTCGGGGTCCGCTAGGGCTGACCCCGAGCGAACCCGGAGCGGACCCAAAGCGAACCCGTAGCGGACCCCGAGCGAACCCGAAGCGGACCCAGAGAGCGAACCCCAAATTCAGTAGCGGTCCCAGAGAGCGAACGCAGGTTCGGTATTTCTTTACAGAGCTGTCAATCAGGATTAGTGATTAACCAATCAGCGCATCAACCAATCAAAATAGCATATTAATCCGACGATTGGGATATAAGATCGAACTTGTTGATTTAATTCGATATAAATGCAAACCCTGTACATACAAGCAAAACGTGTGAATGTGCTGTGTAAATCTATCTGATTATAAAAATATTATTTAATATTTATTTATTTTAATCCTCCGGGTTGCATATTTGTATATTTATTTTCTTTTTTTTTTATTAAGGCAATTAATTATTATGTTTTAATTTTCCACGTAGAATTATACATGAATACATGAATATACACTAGAAAGAAATCCGGACCGCTATGAAATAAGTCTGGTTTAACGGGGTAAACTCGGGTGAAGTGCGATTTCCATAATTGAACGAATTAATTATGCTAATTAGTCTCGACATTTAGTAAATCGTACATTGTTTAATTCTCTTAAAATGGCGTAACTATACTTGACAAAGAATAATCAGAGAAATATAATATAGAAGGGATATTTTAACATATGAATTATGATCTATTATAAATATTGAAATGTTTTTTGGACTAATTATTGGGAAAAAATTATTGATAAAGGCGTAAGCAATACGTAGTTATGTGGGTTGTTCGAGAGTTGGTAACGCAAACTTACTGTAGAGTTACACTGAATTGAAGGAATATTCTTTTTATGTATCATCAGGAATTGCGTTGAATTCAAGTTCATTCTGGTGAAGTCATTCAGTTTGTTAATACCATTAGAGCGGAATGACTTCGATCTGTGCATCCAGAAGGAAGATTTCCATATACACGCATTTTTTTCATGCCCAAAAAGATCAAGAAGATTAACATGATTGAGAAGATCAATAATTTTGATGTAAATTTTGAGTAATTTAATGTAATACGTACATTGAGAAATCATAAATAATGAAATAAAATAATTAGAATTTTATAAAGACAATGTGTGTGTGAAATAGGGGGGCTATATAAATAAATTCTTATCGGGTCGGGAGAACAATTATTATTTGCCTTTTTCTTTATTCTGATAAAAATCATACTCGCTCCAAAATTCTGACCGTGAAAAAAATCTTACAGTGTAATTTTTTTTTAAAGAAAATGTCCGGTAATTATTTATTACGAACTTTTAATGTGTAACTACTATGAATGAAATCTAAATATATCAGATGTACAAAAGGTTACATGTAATTTATAGATGCGAACAAATGTATTTTTAAACTATATAAAGCATGAATTTTAAAGGTATTTAGTTTAGATTTCTTTCGTCAGTTTCAATTGTACACCATTCGATACACTGAAAATCAATTCAACACTCTTTCCTTCCTCTTTTTTTTTTTGTTTTCTTGTTATAACTTAAGAAGAATAAATGCCTTATAACCCGCCGTTAAATTAGTTTGAATTTCTCGGGATCGAAAAATCAATTAAATCAATTATTCATGTACATATAAATCTTCGTCGAATGTACAGTTGAATTTTAGAAAATTTATCAATGTTCTCCATTATATCACTGTTTACATGTACAGTGTACATGTCAGCATCGTCGCAAAAACAACAATGATCGATCCTCAATACCATTACTGTATTGGAATAAACAAGGGGCGGGGCTAACTGGCGGTAAGATTAAAGCGGGGTCCGCTTCACGCATCGGTGCGTAAAGCGGTCCCAGGAAGCGAACGCCGGGTTCGCTCTAGCGGACCCAGAGCTGACCCCGAGCGAACGCGGAGCGAACCCGGAGCGATCCCAAAGCGCACCCGGAGCGGTCCCAAAATTTCTGAAAGCGAACCCGAAGCGGACCCCGAGCGAACCCGGGAAGCAAACACGGGGTCCGCTCCGGGTTCGCTCTGGTGTTAGGTTGTGTCCGGTCGGTACTGTATATACCTTTATCGGGGTATTGTGCTGGACCTGTTGTGAACTTCGACAATTCACCAAAAGTCATCAGTGTAGTCGCTAAATAAGCTACTGGGTCAATGTTACGATGGAGATTTAACTAACTAGTTCTTTACTCAAATGTACTGGTATACATACGTACTCATTATGTTCATTGGTAACCCATAAACCAACAGCAGACTGAGATACCGGTTGTTCAATGAAAAGCATTCGCATCACATAATGTTTGGATAACTGAGGAAGTTGTCTGTAAAAATAAAATAATTAACAATAAAATTATGATCATTATTACTACCTTACATAATTTCTTGTTTCTCATGTTAAAATGTTATTTACCGAAATACCGCAAGACAGGTAGCCGGGTGATTGTACAATTTATCAAGGATACTATGAGGGAGTGTTTTTAAATATCCATGCAAGTCTTTGCATTCTAACTTCCTGGCAGCTGCAACACTTGCCATGCCGAATACCCCAGGTACTGGCATAAATAGGTTAATGAGTTTTACAAGCAATTATCCTCGCCACTTTTCTCGCCATGCCGAAAGAAGCATCAATGTAAATTGCACGCTTTAATTCTAAATGTCAAAACCCACACACGATAATGAAATTTGCTTATATTCATAGATATCTGAATGGTACATGATATTAATCTAAATTATATTAGATCTTTTGGTTTCATAAGAAACGTTTTATTTACTGTCAAATACATTTTGTTTAAATATAAGTAGTTGTTCCGGAATAAATTAAAACTCCCAGACGATTCTATAGCTCTTTTACTTAGGAGGGTAAAAAGTTAGCCAATATGTCAGCGTCCTGGTGTTACATGAGAAAATTTTACCGAGACTTTTCAGTAAAATTGTACAAGCCTCTTTTCATTCGATCTTCGTTTTATGACACCCCAGTATGTAGATTTTGTACGACTCACAGTAAAAACAAGGTACGTTAAAAAGACTGTCATTGTAGAAGAAAGCATTTACATTTTACCAAACCCAAGAATATTCCTTGATGCAGTATACACTGATAAAGTAACAGTGATTTTTCTACATTTTTTAAAAGGGGCCTGGGCCTTTACAATTGGGAAAAATTGTCGACATTTGTATCAAATTGGGAAATATTTTAAAAATTGTCATGTAACCTTAATTGGCAGGTAAAATAAACTATGTAAGTAAATGTAACATCATTTATCAATATATTTACTACAAAACAATAAATTAAACACAGTTCTATATTTTTAATCTTTTTTAAAATCTTTGAAAGTTGTTAATGTGACCAACCTATATCAGTATACATGTATTTCCTTTTTTTTGCTCTGACAATATTGGTAGACAGAAAATCCTTCTTTTAATAGCCATGGTTTAAGATAGAATAATCTAACATGATTTATTACATCATGTATTTTTCAAAGTAATTATTAAAGCTTTCTAATTACCCTAGCTAAACATAATGCTGCAATTTTTCTCTGCAATACTAATTAAATATGCCAGATGTAGAAACAGTTTGATTTTCGTGGTATCAGGGATGCTTTTTGTAGAACTATTAGTACTTGGAGTTACAAATAAAGCTATGTTTCGTCGGTTAATATGCATCTTACACTTTCTAACGATGTATTTACACACAAGCTTGACAAGGAGACCCATGTGTTTTTCTATGTCTTGTTAACGCTTCGAGTAATCTGATGTTCCTACGTGTTATTTTAAGAGTCTAAGTGACTGAGAACAAAAGCGTTCCATTTTAGATAAGTCGTGCGTAAAAAATTCAATATAATAAAAACAACGGTTTTGTGTTGGTAAAAAAAGCAACAGAAATTGGGAAAAAATCGGTAATTTTTGAGAGGGGAAAGGGCCGATATTCGGACCCAAATTGGATGTAGAAAAATCACTGAGTAAATTATGAAAAGTCTTTTCCAGATTGTTCGAAGCTTTTTATTTTTATTTTAATTACAGAACAATACAGAGAGGAAAAGGACAAAATCACAGAGAGGACCGGTTACTTATGAATCAGAAACATATGATGTGCCAACAGAACCTGGAGCCAAGAAGGGTAGGTTTCTGTGGCACTTTTCTTTCACTGCTTACATTGCTTAATTTGTACTAGTCATTAAAAGTTCACTTACATGAAATTGAACTTGTTTTATATTTGAATTTTTGTCTTAAAAGAATTACCTTTTGAATGGATAATTCTTATGTGCTTCAATATATGCTAGACAAGTTAGCAGATTAAAAATTATGTATACATGTATAATAATTAATTGTAAAAATCATGGACAGAGACCATATCCATAGGTATTTATCCTATGATACCAGAATTATGTTACATTATGCTGGTATCCAGACCTGGGGTAATGGTAATGTGTAATGGTAATGCATTGTAATCATTACATTTTTTCAAAGTAATTGGGTGTAATGTGTAATGGATCCATCTTTCAATTACAAGTAATTGTAATGTAATTCATTACTTAAAAAAAAATGTCAGTAATGACCAATTACTTTTCAATTACAGTTCAAGTTCATTTTGTGTATTAGTCTCTTTTTATTTTTGAATCTGAAGCAAATAAATATCACTGAGAGGCTATCTTAAAATTAAAATCCTATATCCTACAATTTTTTTTATTTTATTAAATGGTAGTTGATAGACAAACTAAATAATTCTTTTAATAGAAAACTTCTGGACAAGACAATTGTAAAATCAATTAAAGAGAACCAGAGAAAAATATTAAAAGAAATCATCAGGTTTTAAAGAAAGATACAAAAATGTGACATTAAAACATGTATACTGAGACTTCCAGTTAAATTAAGATATAAATTATATTTTCTACTTTTTTCCCTTTTCATTCTGGTAAAATGGACTTGGTAAACATGATACAAGACCGGTATAATCACTTATTATAGACACAAAGAGAAACTAAGGCCAAATATAAATATAGACTGATATATTGACCACTATTCATTTTTGGTAGCTAATACGGCCTCAAAATTCAAATTATATATCTAGGTACAGTACAAGCCGTTTTATTTAATACCTGTTTTATATCATAGGCCGTTTTTTATCATAGATATTTAAAACACAAAACCATTTCTTAATAATTCAATGTTAATTTCTTACGTTATTATCATAGGTAAAAGTGTGTACTTCGGTTACTATCATAGAAAAATTTCGTCCGTAATATTTTTTTCACACCTTTTTCACTCTGGAGACAATTAACAAAACAAAAGATAACACCTGTCAACACCTGTGGCCCATGCACTGTCGCTTATCTATACACAATGGCTTGACTGAGGGGGATTAGTCACACTCCAGCGCATTTACCTGAGCGATGACTGGAAGTTTGTTTATTTCACAAAGTACATTACACAACAACAGGAAGCCATCCGCAATCTTATTTTCTTCTTTAGTTTAATTGTTTAATTGTACATTGATAATAAATGTGTTTTACCAAAATGTGTTGAATCTAAATTAAGTGTCAATTTACCCAAGCTATCTTACGCTTGTTGCCTGATCAATGGTCATAATTAATCACATTTATAAATTGTCCAATTATTCAGAAGTGATGTGAAATTAACTTTTTAACCAGCCTGTCCAAGCGGCTTTGATTTACATCAGTGTATCAATTAATTTAATTTCAATTAAACGGCACCATTAAGTGTAATTAGCGCTTGGGTGCAAGGAAGAAAATAATTGGGCTTGTGTTTTAGATGAATTTTCCCTGACACTTAATAGCTTGAAGGTTGAAAAAGAATGAGAAAGAATTAAACAATTTTAATTCATGTTCTGTCATGTTGTAACATAATTTTGATACCGTAAATATTGTGTAGTTGGTAAGCAAGTTGTGTTATGCTGAAATGTTGAACTAACATTTTTGTAACTAAATGTTTTTTTCGTTTGTACGTTTTTATATACTGTTTATAGATATTTTCTCTTTTTGTTTTGTGTTTCATTAAAACTGCAACGTAAAAAAACAAACGAATTATTAATAGATTGAATTGATCATAGAACCTAAAAACGAAAGTAGATCAAAATGAAAGTTAACAAGATGGATGCCAAGACATCTAGAAGATTGAGTTCGGAGATTATTAAGCTTTAGGAAAGTGAATTTATTTATACAAAATGTTGAAACAGTAAGTAAAAAAAGTAAAATGATATGTTAGCTAACTTGTTTTTCAAAATAAACCTAAAAATATGAAATTAATACTATAATACATATTTAATATAGTGTAAAAACGGCAGGCATGTTATTGATCAAGTCATGTTCATGTCAGACCTCGGAGATGAATTTCAGCTGTCTATGGTTATAATCATAGTCGGTTATTATAAAGTTTTGGCCTGACAAATAAGCTATGATAATAAACGGCTTGTACTGTACTTGTAATTATCACCTTTGGTTGTGTTTTATTTATAGCTTCATTGATTATACCTGCTAATTTGAAGAGCTAATTAATTCATTAAGTTTTTAGCTCACCTGAGCCGAAGGCTCAAGTGAGCTTTTCTGATCACATTTTGTCCGTCGTCCGTCTGTCTGTCTGTCCGTCTGTAAACTTTTCACATTTTCGACTTCTTCTCAAGAACCACTGGGCCAATTTTGACCAAACTTGGTACAAAGCATCCTTGGGTAAAGGGAAATTTAAATTGTTAAAATGAAGGGCCAAGTCCCCTCGCAAGGGGAGATAATCAAGAAAAGACAAAAATAGGGTGGGGTCATTAAAAAATCTTCTTCTCAAGAACCACTGGGCCAGAAAAGCTGAAACTTATGTGGAAGCATCCTGGGGTTGTGTAGATTCTAAATTGTTCAAATCATGACCCCCGGGGGTAGGGCGGGGCCACAATGGGGAATCAAAGTTTTACATAAAAATATATAGGAAAATTCTTTGAAAATCTTCTTCTCAAGAACCACTGGGCCAGAAAAGCTGAAAATTATGTGGAAGCATCCTGGGGTTGTGTAGATTCTAAATTGTTCAAATCATGAGCCCTGGGGGGTAGGGCGGGGCCACGATGGGGAATCAAAGTTTTACATAGAAATATATAGGAAAATTCTTTGAAAATCTTCTTCTCAAGAACCACTGGGCAAGAAAAGCTGAAACTTATATGGAAGCATCCTGATGTAGTGTAGATTCTAAATTGTTCAAATCATGACCCCTGGGGGTAGGGCGGAGCCACAATGGGGAATCAAAGTTTTACATAGAAATATATAGGAAAATTCTTTGAAAATCTTCTTCTCAAGAACCACTGGGCCAGAAAAGCTGAAACTTATGTGGAAGCATCCTGGGGTAGTGTAGATTCTAAATTGTTCAAATCATGACCCCCGGGGGTAGGGCGGGGCCACAATGGGAAATCAAAGTTTTACATAGAAATATATAGGAAAATTCTTTGAAAATCTTCTTCTCAAGAACCACTGGGCCAGAAAAGCTGAAACTTTTGTGGAAGCATCCTGGGGTAGTGTAGATTTTAAATTGTTCAAATCATGACCCCCAGGGGTAGGGCGGGGCCACAATGGGGAATCAAAGTTTTACATAGAAATTTATAGGAGAATTCTTTGAAAATCTTCTCAAGAACCACTGGGCAAGAAAAGCTGAAATTTATGTGCACA